TTTTTTTTTTGTGGTGCTGGGGTTTGAACCCAGGGTCTTGTGCATGCTAGGCAAGCACTCTACCAACTGAGCTATATCCCCAGCCCTAAAAGTTGCCATCTTAACCGTTTTTATGTGGATTGTCCAATGGTGTTAACAGCATTCCCATTGTAGCACAAGCATCACCACTACCTCTCACTAGAACTCTGTCATCCTACAAAACAGAAATGTGATCCCCCTTCAACACCAACTCTTCCTTTCCCACTTCCCCCAACCCCCGGTAGCTCCCCTTCTACTTTCTGCTGTTCTATGAATTTACTACTGTGGGTACCTAATACAAGCAAAACCATACAGCATTTGTCTTTTTGTGATGGGTTTACTTAACTGAGCATAATGTTCCTGAGGTTCATGCGTGTTGCAACATGTGCCACAATTTCCCTCTTTGAAAGGCTGAATAATATTCTCTTGTGTGTTCAGATCATGTTTTGTTTATCTATCTGCTATGATTTGGATCTGGAATGTTACCCTAAGATCCAAGCATTGAAGGTTCCTTCCCCGGCCTATAGTGACCATCAGGAAATGGTAGAATCTTTAAGAGGTGGGGTCTAGAGGCTGGGGTTGTGGCTCAGTGGCAGAGCGCTTGCCTCACACATACGAGGCACTGAGTTCGATCCTCAATACCACATAAAAATACATAAACAAAATAAAGATATTGTGTCTAAGTATAACTTAAAAATATTAAAAAGAAAGAGGTGGGGTCTAGTGGTAGGTCTTAAGTTATTGGGGGTGTGCCCCAAAGGAAACTGGGGGACCCTGTTCCCTTCCTTTCTCCCTCTTTCATCTCCTGGCTGCTATGAGGTGAACAGTTTCCTCAGCAACATATGCCCTCCATGATGTTCTGCCTCACCACAGGAACAAAGCAATGGTGCCAACCAACCATGGACTGAAACCTCTAAAACTGTGAGCCAAAATAAGCCTTTTCTTTTATTGTTTTTTTTTTTTAATATCAGGTGTCGCTACAATAATGGAAAACACACACCATCAATCAGTTGATGAAAACTTGAAGGGCCATTCCCATATTTTGGCTATTGTGATAATGCTGCTATGAACACAGCAAATATCTCAAGTCTCTGCTTTTGCTTTCTTTGGGTAATCCAAGAAGTGAAGCTGCTGGATCATATGGTAATTCTAAATTTAATCTTTTTTTTTTTTTGAGGAACAAACATGCTATTTTCCACACCAGCTACATCATTTCACGTTCCCATTAGCAATACACAAGAGTTTCCATTTCTCCACATCGAAGCCAACACTTGTTTTACGTCTTTTTACCAACAACCATCTTAAGGGATGTGAGGTGGTTATTTCATCATGGTTTTGATGAAATGGATTTTTGTTTAAGGATAAGCTGGTTCAGCCTGCTCTACAGCATTTTACCAAGTTAATTTTCTAATTATTAAAAGACTCCAGCAAGTACCTGAGCACTCAACTTTCCCAAGGCTGTCTCCGGGAAGCCTGTTCCAGGACAGCCATTGACCCTTGTCCATCTGCTCTCTTGCATAGCCTGACTACCAGCCCCTCCTCCCAGCAACCAGCCTCTGCTCACTATCATTATGGAAGTTATTAAAACCGAGATGATTGTTCTTGTCATACCCAGACAGAACTGGAGCCAGGAAGGGAGGGCTCATGCCTGCTTATATAAGATAAGTACCCTCTCAAGAACTTTCTAAAGCCTCACCATAGATTTTCTCTAGTTCTATACACACCCATCCACCTCATGCACTCCTTGCAGATTTCTGCAATGAAGTTTATCTTTAGCATTGTTTAAGACAATGTTTCCGACAAGATGCTCTGGATAGAACACTTGCCAACAAGGGCACCTCAACCAACAAGCTATTGCCAATTCCTGCTTCAGGTCTCCAAAACTAACAAATTTTATATCCACATATCATATGTAAAAGTTTCCCTTTGCCTCATCCTCTTTGAATTAACTCAGTTCACTATAGCATGTGTATTCCCATTGTAATGAACTAATATTTCTAAATAAATACTGTTAATCTTTGAGATATTCTTTGGAGATCTTTGTTATTTAGAATGTGTTATGCTTGTATCTTAAATGTCCCCCAAAAGCCCATATGTTAAAGAATTGGTCACCAGTCTTTGATGCTATTAGGAGGTGGTGGAATTTTTTAATATGTAGGGCCCAGTGGAAGGAAATTAGGTCATGGAGGCGTTTATGCTCTTGAAGGGAATATTGGGACCCTGGGCTTGTCTTCTCTGATCACTTCTTAGCCACCAGAAGTAAATAGACTTCCTTTGCCATGCACTTGCACTGCTATGACATACTGTGCCACAAAGACCAAAAACAACCAGGCCAAACAACAACCAGGGACTAAAGCCTCTGAAACTGTGAGCCCAGATAAATTTTTTCCTTTAAGATTTTTATCTCAGGTATTATCCACAGCAACAAAAAGCTAACACAGATTGATAGTACAAATGCCTTCCCATCTAGTGGTTACTGGTTTCTCTTAGGGAAGCCCTGCTTCCATGGGGTTCCAAAACTGGACATTCTGTACAGCTGGCATTCCATAACCTCAGATTCTATACCCACAGAGTCAAACAACTGCTGGTGAAAAATATTCTTTAAAAAATAAGGTGGCCAAGCGTGGTGGCGCACACCTATAATCCTAGTAGCTTGGGAGGCTGAGGCAGGAGGATTGAGAGTTCAAAGTCAGCCTCAGCAACTTAGCAAAGCTCTGAGGAACTCAGTGAGACCCCATCTCTAAATAAAATACAAAAAAGAGCTGGGGATGTGCCCCAGTGGTTAAGTGCCCCTTGGTTCAATCCCTGGCACCAAATAGTAAATAAATAAATAAGGGGCCTGGGGTCTTAGCTCAGGATGCCTAGCATGCCTGACACCCTGAGCTCAATTCCCAGCATTGAACACATACAAACCTCCCTCTTTGTCATTATTCCCCTGAACAATACAGGGTAACAACTATTTACACAGTATTTACATTGTATTAGTTATTATAAGTCATCTATCATGATTTAAAGTATGCTGAAGGATTCTATAGGTTATATGCAATACTGTACCATTATAAAATGAAGGGTTTGAGCACCTGCAGATTTTGGTACCTGTGGGCATCCTAGAACCAAAGCCAGGAATACCTTGAAAGACAAATATACTGAATGACCTGGACCCACAGTCCCCTTGACCAGCTCCAGCTTGCTGACATGCATTCAAAGACACAGCAAGGAAGCTAGGCGGTCCCATCCTGAGCCTGTATTGCAGAGTGCACTCCCTTGTCTACCCAAGTTGCATTTGGTTAATTCACTGGGAAGGTCCTTAAAAAAGTAAGATTGAAAGCCAGTCACAATGGAAGTCAAGCCCCAAACCTTCCAACAGTTGGACTACAACCAGAATTTGGCTCTCCTGAAGCTGAGACTGTCTAGAAATGCCACCAACAGGCAATTCATTTAAGGTTTAAACTTTCAGTGAGACATAGCTTTTTACAGTGTAAGAAACCATAGGTCAGGTCTCCCTTCATCTAATAACTTGATTCTCGATTTCTTGTGTTATCTCCTTTTTCCGACCTCCTTCTCTATTTCAGTTCTTTCCTAGTGGTCAACTCTGCTGATTATTAGCGGATACAGAAAAGGGCTTTATGAAGAATAGATTTTGAAACTACTGTATCCTTAATACCTACAACAGTATCTGGCACATAATAGGAGATTTGAAACTATCTGTTGAACAAATCAAAGTAGACATATTGAAACAAGACTGCACGTCTGCCTTTTACCACCATGAGTAACCCAGTTAACGAAAATCAGTAGTAGTTGGTGGTAATTAGGGATGAATGAAATACTATATTTTCACATTTATTAATTTAAAGACACAGTATATAGGGACAAATAAGACCATCCATCATGTTTATGTTTTTTAATATGATGTTGGGGATCAAATCTAGGACTTCAAGTGTGGTAAGCCTGCTCTCTAGCACCAAGTCCCTCCCCTGTAACTTCCATGTTTTCTGTTGTTATTTGGTTGATTCATTTTTTTTGAGGTCCTGGGGATCAAATCCAGGGCCCTGTGCATACTAAGCAAGCTCTCTATTACTTAACTATATCCCAAGTTCCAATCATGATTATTTTTTAAAGGTTTGTGTTTATTTTCTTATTCACCCTTAAACACATAAACTGAGCTGAGCTAACACATTCAGGTTTAGTTGATAATTGGTTTATTTAATTTGTTTTTATTAAAGTCTACATTCAGATTTCCTTTGTTTTCCCCTAATGTCACCAGTAATTTGGTGGCATTTGTCCTGAGGTTTCTCCTGGCTGTGACAATTTCTCACATTTCATGACCTTGATCAGAGGACCAGGCAGGTATTCTGTAAGACATCATTCAGTTTAGGTTGGTGTGGTTCGTGTCATTTGTTTCTCAGGGTTACTTTGGGATCATGGGATCTTGGAGGATGTCACACAGGTGAAGTATCCTTCTTATACCATCCTATCAAGGACATTTTATTTCTGAGTCACAGCAAACACCTTACCTAACACCTGTCAAACTGACAGGCACTCCCTGAAGAAAGTTTAGCTGCCAGATGTGTGAGTGTACTTTAGAAATGGACACATCTGCATCCTTGGCACTCATACTTGGTTTTATTTAGGTTTTACATGGAGACTGCAATGCCTTCGTTTGGAAGTTCACCTCCTTAAACAAATATCTGTGATTTAATATTTTCACTTGAGATTGTCAGGCCATTTATTTCCTTCCAAAGGTAATTCTGGCTCACCATCCAGAGCACTCAAAGTTTCACCTGTGTTCTGGAATCTGAACTATTAGTTGACTTCCTCTCAAAACTATGGTCTAGCAACCAACTCCTTTCCAAAAAAACTCTTCATTCTAGTCTCAACAGATTACTAACAACCACAAGACTTTCTCACTCCCTCTAGAAACAATGTTCATTTTCTACTTCAAAGCATGCTATCTCCAGGCATTCAGTAAACTGTTTCAGGCTTCTTTCCACACAGAGTAACTCAGAAGGAAGGACTCTGTTCCACCTTTTGCTTTCCTCACCAGTAAAGCTGGTATTTGGTGGCCTATCTGCCCAGTGGACACACTTTTGGGTTTGTTTTCAAGTCTGCTTTTCCTTCACACTGAAGATCACATATATTCAGGTGGTTCAAGGCTAAATCAGAGATGACTCAATCAAGGACTCCAGAGCAGAAGCCACTGGAAAGAAGAGACTTTTGTTTGACTCTGAAAACAGAGGCCTCTTTGGCCCGTCTAAGCAGCCTGCTGGCCCATGGCACTCCTCTTACTTCTGCACTGGCGTCGCCACTGCAGAGCTGAAAATCTTCAGGTCTTGCTTTCCCAGGCACATCCCAGGCCGGGGACCATGATAAAGGCAGGCCCTGATCTCCAACCACCTCAGCACCTCAGAGATCCTATAAAATCTCCCTGGTAGCAGGTGGGTGCGGGCCACGGGGAAGCTTGGACTCCAGCCAGGGCATGGTCAGTCGGCTGCAAGGCAGCAGAGGGGGGGTTAAAAGGGTCTGGTAACAAGAAGAGAAGTCATCCGGAGAACCCCTATAAAAGTGAACGAGGTCTCTCCGGTCGCTAGAAAAAGAAAGAAACGGTGGCGGCAGCAAAGCTACAGAGTCTCCGTATGCACCTGTGATTGCCGGGCAGTTTAGCGAGCTGCAGGAGGACCCAGACGCTGTGGCGGAGGAGACGCTTCCCAGGTACCAAACCCACAGTAGGGCCGCGCCCATGCCCGCGCTTTGGGTGGGCGGGAGTCTCCAGCCCTCCGAGGCTCGCCTCCGGCTCAGGTGCAGAAGCCAGACGGAGCCACCACCTGAACGCCCCCAAACTGCAAGACCCCCACCCCCGCCCCGCCGCGTTCCCCGCCCCCCTCCAACCCACAGCACGGCCCACAGCCCTCCCTACCTCGACGTTTGGCGCGTACGATGCCCTTTTTTTGCAGCACAAACGTGGACCCGTTCACCAGGCTTGACACGACGGCCACGCCCAGGCCGAGCGACACCGCGGCGGGGCTCGGGCTGCGCGCCCCCTCCCCGGCCGCCGCCGCCGCCGCTGCCGCCGCTGCAGTCCCCATTCCGCCCGCGCCTGCGCCTGCGCGCCGCGCCCAACCGGGCCGGGTTGCGGGGGGTGGGGGGGTACCGGGATCCGCGGCGCTCGGGGGCGGGGGTGATGAGGATCAGCGAAATTGGGCAGGGGCGGGGCCAAGGGTCCTGGGGCTCGGGCGGCAAACCCGCACTCTGTGGGAGGATGGAGTGGGGCCAGGCCTAGAGCTGATTAAGCTGAAGATGGGGGGTTCTGTGGGCTGGGGGTGGGATGGGGAACCCTAGGCACAGCGGGGCTTAGGCTGCACGGAGGTTAAGAAGAGGGGGTGGGGCCCAGGGTTCCCCGAGTCTCGGGCGGGTAGGGGGGAACAGGCTAGGTGGAAAGAGAGGAGAAAGGTGGATGGGAATGCAGTGAGGAGGGGGTTAAGAGACTGGGCTGTATGTGGGTGGTGGGGAGGTGAGGTTCCCAAGTTTGGCAAATAAAAATACAGGACGTCCAGTTAAGTTTGCATCTTCGATAAACAGCAAATAATTTGTTAAGAGTGTGTTCCATGCGGTATCTGGGACGGGAAGAGCGGCAGTGGAACGCAGCCCTCGCAAGCATCACTGCCCCCAGACCTCCAGTTGGAGAGACACAAATGAGCTGTATAAACTCAAATGGGATCGCCCCACCCCAATGTGGTGAATTCTTTACTCTCTGAAGTCAGCTATTTTCACTTTGCAGCAGTGAGCTTGTGATCATACTGTTTAATTTTCTTCATTTACATTTTTAAAAGTTCATCAAAATTATAGATAACTTAGAAAATAGGAAAAGTTATTTTAAAATTACTCAGTCCACAACACTCACCTAATTATTACTTTAGGTGTTTTCCCACATGCGTACATACTTTTACACGATGCAACACACAAGATTTCTCTTCTATTTAATATTACAATCAAGTTTTCATATTGCTTCATAATTATGATTGTTTTAATGATGGCATGATTTCCATAAATGAATTAATCTGTCTAATCAGATATTGTTGGTAGGTTTTCTACTTCTATTATAAATACTATAATGAGCATCTTTTTAAATTTTTAAAGTACCAGGTTAAAGAGTCTAAACCTTTTTTGCAACTCTACAGCATTGTTTTGTGAAGCAATATAAAATCATACTGTTTATGAAAACTTTTATACTGAATGAAGTATCCATTAGCTGTTTTTTCTCCCTTTAATAATGTTTTATTTGGAGACAGAGTCTTGCTAAATTGGCCATGATGGTCTCAAACTTTTAATGCTCCTGCGTCAGCCTCCAGAGTCACTGGAATTATAAGTATGCACCATTGTGCCCAGTTCATTGCTTCTTTTTTAAAATTTTGGTAATATATAAGTAAAACCAAATTTGCCATTTTAACCATTTTTAAATGTACAGTTCAGTGGCATTAGTTATATCACATTGTTCTGTAACTACCACTAATCTTTTTCAAAATTTTTCCATCACCCCCAAACACAAACTCTGTAGGACTCACTCCCAAGGCCCCTTCACCCTAGTCCAAGGGAATGTCTAATCTTCTGTATCTACAAATTTGCCTGTTGTTGGCATTCCATGTAAGTGGAGTCATAGGACAATTTGTGACTGGCGTATTTCACTTAGCATAATATTTTAAGGATTCATTCATGTTGTAACATGTATCAGAACTTCATTCTGCTTTATGATTAATGTTCCATCATATGAATATGCAACACTTTGTTTATTCATTCATCTGTTAATGTATTTGTGTTGCTTCCACCTTTTGCCTATTATAAATAATGCTGCAATGGACATTGGAATGAAAGTAAGTTTGAGTCTTTATTTAAATTCTGTTGGGTATATATACCAAGAAGTAGAATTGCTGAGTCATATGATAATCCTATGTTTAGATTTGAGAAACTGCCAAACTCTTCCACAGCAGCTGCACTATTTTACATCCCCACTAGCAACGTAGAGGGTGCCAATTTATCCACATTCTCACCGAAACTTATTGTTCTCTGGTTTAAAAAGAAAAATTGTCATCCTAGTAGGCTATTTAAAATAGGTATGAAGAGGTTGCTTATTCTGTCCCCCCAACCCCTGCAATGCTGGGTATCAAACTTAGAGTCTTTCTCATGCAAGGCAAATGTTCTACCTTTGAGGTACAGCTTCAGCCCCTGTTTATTCTTAGCCTCCTTCATTTTAGTACTGGGGATTGAATCCAGGGGTGCTTACCACTGGACTACATCCCCAGACCTTTTTCATTTTTATTTTGAGGCAGAGTCTTGCTAGGTTGCTAGGGCCCCACTAAATTGATGAGGGTGGACTTGTATTTGAAATCCTCCTGCCTTGGCCTCCCAGGTCTCTGGGATTACAGGTGTGTGCACCACTGTTCCTGACTTTGCTTATTCTTTTAAAATATACTTTTCAATATAAATAGTGTTTCATATATATATATWTTTTTTTTAAATATTTATTTTTTGGTTATAGGTGGACACGTCTTTATTTTTACTTTATGTGGTGCTGAGGATTGAACCCAGCATCTCATGCATGCCAGGTGAGTGCTCTACTCTGAGCAATAACCCCAGTCCCATAAATAGTGTTTCTTAGTAAACAATAACTTCTATTACTAATCTCAACAGAAGTAGGCAAGTGAAAGCAGCAGCAACAGCACTGCCAAAATAATAAAAATTATTTAATTTACTAATTACTGCTAGTGCAGAAAAACTGACTTCAACACTTTTGGCAAAAAGACACATGCCCGTGATATTTATTTGTTTATTTATTTTTTTGGTACATTCAACCAGAAAGCAATACCTCCATCCCCCTACTATTACTTTTTTTTTTTTTTTTTGCTGGAAAATTTTCAATTTTTATTTGGTCCAAAGCTTGTGAGGGGTTCCATGGTGGTTAAAAGCTGCCTAGGTGTTAGAGGGAGAGACTCAGGTCAAAGCCCTGATGCCAGGAGATGCAAAGGAGCCACTGCACTCTGGGACCTCTAGTCATGCTTGAGAGTGAATCTTTCAAAGAGATACCCCTCCAGCTCAACCTGGGGGTTTGCCAGACATCAGAGGTTAGTCAAGTGGTCCCCCATCTTCTTGATGAGCTTCACTTCTTCATCAAGGAAGCGTTCTCTGGAAAGTCACGGAGATGTGGGTCTGTACATGTAGAACCTAAGGCATGAAGATCCAAAATGGCTTGGACCAGGTTCTTCTCCAGGGCTAAGGCAGCTTCTGTGGCAGTCAAGGTATTGCCCCACTAATCTTGAGAAGGTTTTTGAACATCCTGAAATAACTTTTCCTCAGCCAGCTCATGGAAGAAGTGGCCCACACTCTCCAGAGCCCACCTCATCACGGTGGAAATAGTAACCCAGAGAGAGGTAGGTATAGGAGGTACAGATGCAAATTGACCAGCTGGTTGACAGCAGCCTCCACCTGGAATAGTTCTGATGAATCTGGGAGGTGGAATAATGGTGGAATAATTCTGATGAATCTGGGAGGTCATGACTGGTCGTCAAGAAGGAGCTAACCACAAAAAATAGAGTTGGCTGGTCCTGGGAGCAGGAGATGGGTGAGAAGATGGTCCCAGAAATTGCAAATGGAGATCAGATTGGAAGGCTGTTGGAAGCTGGGAGAAAAGGTCTATTCCATCTAAACACTGTTGAAGCAAGAGACAGATCTGTGGGAGCTCTAGGTGTGTTGGTTCCCATTATTTCTTAATTCAATAAATTTAATGACTGTCAAAACAAAAACAAAAACAACCATAATAACATCACCCCAGATCCATTACCCCAAAACAACTTCTATTAAGAAATCCACTCAGACATTTTTCCATGTGTGTATCTGGTAAAAGGATAGACATATTTTATCAAATGGAAAGGCACAAATAGTATGTTAGTTAGAAAGATTAAACTTTATTGTATGGGCTGGAATGTAGCTAGCTCAGTGGTAAAGCATTTGCCTAGCATGTGCCAAGCCCTGGATTCCATCCTCAGCACCAGGAATACAAATCAAATGAACAACAACAACAACAACAAAAAACCCTTATCTGAATTTAACAACAACAACAAAAACAACAAATTGAAATAAAATTAAAGTACTGAAGTTGAGATAAACATTGTTACCATAAAAGATATTACAAGGGCTGGGGCTGCAGCTCAGTGGTAGAGTGCTCGCTTTGCATGTGTGAGGCACTGGTTCAATCCTCAACACCACATAAAAAATAAATTATTATTTTTTTTTTTAAATATTTATTTCTTAGTTTTTTGGTGGACACAACATCTTTGTGTGTACGTGGTGCTGAGGATCGAACCAGGGCCGCACGCATGCCAGGCAAGCGCGCTACCGCTTGAGCCACATCCCCAGCCCCAAAAAATAAATTATTAAAGAAAGATGTGGGGCTGGGGATGTGGCTCAAGTGGTAGCGCGCTCGCCTAGCATGCATGAGGCCCTGGATTCGATTCTCAGCACCACATCAAAATAAAATAAAGATATTGTGTCCACCTAAAAAACTAAAAAATAAATAAAAAAAGAAAGATGTGTCCCTTTACAACTAAAAAAATTTTTTAAAATTATTTATTTAGTTGTAGATGAACATACAGTATCTTTATTTATTTTTATGTGGTACTGAGGATTGAAGCCAGTGCCTCACACATTCGAGGCAAGCACTT